ATTTTATGGAATCATAATGAAATACATATGTACATAAATTTTAATAAACATACATACATACTTATGCACATATATACTAAGTATATGCTTTGATACCAAATATATACGGATGTACATAAATTATGTGCCGAGTCAGTTGCGCATCGAAAATAAACGAATTTCTAGGCGTAAATTTGTTAATATTGGATTTACCATTATTTTTCTCATTTAACACTGAAAATGCTCAATTCTGCTATTTTCGTGGTGAAACACGCTTAWAATTTGTCTGTGGTGAAACTGGACCATCTCTGCCGAGTACCCCTTCGAAAAGTTACGATATTTGAAACGTGAACCTTCTCTATGATAAATATTTTTACGATCTCCGCGCCGTGAACCTTCTCTATGATAGACGTTCTCTGCTCTGGTTGTACGTTTTCTGCTTCCTCTTTTTATACCCCTTACTTAGGTCGTAATTTTTTTTACGTTCTTCCAGCAAAGGCGTATAACTGTTGTATAGTCAATTGCTACTTCCCCTAATTGGACTTCAATTTGTCACAGATTAAGTGGATTTAACACTTCTTTCCACCAATAGATGACGCAAAAATATTCGAATGGAATTCACAAAGAGGGCGCCATGACAGCGGACACTTCTGCCGTTTTCTTCTACCACTTATTCCGCCTGTGTCATGGTTGTTACTGCAATAACTAACTTGCAGAGCACTGTGGTGGCCTGCGCTGCGTGCGTTCTGTCGTTGCATGTCGGTCTAATKCGATTTGTTTGTTTACCCAGTTGACAGTTCCTGGAAAATCGTCACGGTGAACGTATCTTAGCTCTTGTGCGGAAAAATTGTGTATTCCAGTGATGATGCGTGTGTAAACGTACGTGCGAAATTTCAACACACGTACAACAAATATCATGGAGCTGATAGGCACACATTCAGCGCACTTTTAAAAGTGCAACGGGAGAAGCTCCACTTTTAGAGTGAACTAAAATAAATAAAAAATTCTTTGTATCTATGAATGCGCATAGTTTGAAATTGGTTGGCCGTGCACGCATTCCCGGCACAAACACTATYCCCAAAATAAATACATACATATGTATAATATGGAAATAAAATGTTAAAATTTCAAAAGCGTTTCAATTTCCAAAATAGTGGTAAATAAACATAAAAGTGAATTTAAAACGGTGATAATTGTGCAAAGTATAGAAAGAAAAAAATAATAATAAAATATCCACTTTTGTATGCGTGTTTATGGTTATATGTGTAGCAACAAATAAACAGTTATTTGTAAATATAATTGTACAAAACAGTTCAAAGTGCTCCAATAAAAAGGAGTTAAAAGAAAAATGTCATTTTCAACTAACTTAACCTTTACGTTTGGATTATTTATATTCTGCGGTGCGCTGGTGCATTGTCACCTCAATGTTTACCTCAACCTGCACGAGGTGATGCGATTAATAGGTGAGTGTGCGCCAAACGTATTAGTTTAGAAAAGTGTTGAATGCATGTAAATATTGCGGTTCTAAAGGAAGAAGTGCAAAGAAATAATGATGTAAATAATTTGGGGATATACATACAGTATCCGACAAAACTTTGTATACCCCATGAAAGTTGAAAAGAAAATTATCATATCTTTTGAAAAGTGAAGTTTATTTTTTTGCATGGCTTTTGTTATTTCTTATGAGTGTACTACATACAAAAAATTAAATTAATTTTCTGAATTTAGTGTTAGTGACTGGAAAATACGCGGTAATCTGAAAAAGAGAATTCTTAGCAACGACAAAAGTATGTATACCCGAATAAATTTTAAGGTTACCTTCACAATAGAGCTTCAATATTTAGTGTTGCCATTATTTAGTGCCAATAGACGTCGAGGCATGCTGTCAACCAAGTTTTGAAGAAGTGATTGGAGTATGTTTTCCCAGGGTCGTTGTCCTGCTGGTATATGAAGTTATCCTGTACGCCCATTTCTTTGCGTAGCTGGCTGCAAATTGGTACTTAACATTTGAACATAAGACTCCCCCGTCATTTTACCTTCGATCATTACGAGATTTGAGAGACCACTGTAGCTAAAACAACCCCAAACCAATACATTTCCGCCTCCAAACTATATGGTGCTTTGAATGTATTTACTCTGAAGCTTCTCGTGGCTCTTTCGCCACATGCACTTACCGTATTTACAATTTTTTAATTGTTGAACTTTTGAAAAAAATATTCAAAGAACAATACAAAATGTGCTGGGATATACATAGTTTTGTCCGATACTGTATGTCACTTAAAATCTTTGCGTTTTGTTAGACAAGTGGTTTTTGAGAAGAAATAAAACGCATATAATTTATGCTATAACCAAGAATTTAGCTTTATTATAAGGTAACCGTTTGCCATTATTTCGGGCTAGTAACTGCTGTGATAAGCAATTGGGTCTTATGCCAACAATAACGCTCTGAATGTTCTCTTCCAAGGCGTCAATCGTCCCACAAAAAATAGTCTAATGGTGTTAAATCGCACAATCTTGAAAAAATATTGGTAGCCATCTCGTTTTTGGCCCATTAACCGAATGTGTTTAGCGTTTAATGGCCGTTTGGCTTCAATTCTTTCACGAGTTCAATTTCATAAGTCTGCAAACCAAGATCTTTCCACCACGACACACATGTGCGCACATACCGATCGAACGCACTTGTGTTTCGTGTACGGGCACTTTAACGTAAACTTTGTTCGAAAATTATCCATGGTTGCCTGAATTATCGTCTCTGCAGCGCGATTATGTCGAACAAAGTACGCAATGCGCATTAAGCCGCTCACGCCGAAAAATTATTTTAATATTAAATTGCATGATTTGAAAACGTTGTTCCGGAGTAAGTATTGTAATTAGGTATAAACGAAGTAAAAGCTGTCAAATAGAATAACTCCGAAATGTTGCCTTATCGAAACCTACACATCTAAAAAAACACCATGTAATAAACGAAAGTGTGCAAAAGTTGAGATCAATATCTCAAAAGCTAAGTAACTAGTTCGCGGGTATACAAACAGACATGGCTAAATCGACACAGATCGTCATGCTGATCACTTCTATATACACATACATAAATACATACATAAGTATGTATATGCTTACAGGTATATGTATACAAAAAAGAGGAGATATATTAGAAAATGTGTAAAAATTAAGTTTGACGAGCATTCAATGCAACAAATCACAAATTCAAAATATTTATGAAAGATAATTAATATTTTAATCACGAGCAAACTATTTGATAGCAGTTAATATAGTATGTAAGGTATGTATAAAACTTACTCAACTCCACGCTTGAGTYCGCAACCCTTTCTGCTTTCGCATTCCTCAGCGGTCGTCATAGTTGCTATTTTAGTGTTTAAACAATAGAATTGGTGCTTTTAGAAAATTAAACCAGCAAACAAAAATTCTTTAGTGTCTAACCTGGAATAATTAGGAGCGCATTGATCGTGGGTGTAATTGCTTTTTAATGTTAAAATTTTCAATAGGAAATTTTATAAAAATAACAAAATTTATTAAAATAATAATATCACAATCAAGTCGCGCTTGATTTTTCTGATGCAATTCTTCAAAAGGACGGAATCCAGTTCTTTTCGGTTCTTCGGCTTCTCGAATCCATGTTTTCTGCTTCTGCATAATCACTCTGGGTTTTCGATGGGACTTAAATCAAAAAAGTAACATTTTGCCGCTATTCCATTGACCAGTTTTCGTACTTTTTCCTTTTTATATATCGTTTTTTCCTTATTCGTTAGCTCAAAACATTTTTTTTTTTGCGGGATGTCGGTCGTTGAGTGCTGCCGCTCTGCGTTTGCTGCGAACGGTTGAAGCATCCATTGTCACTCCTATTCAATATATGACGGGGATTTAAAACCCTTCCACACCTTTTTCTCTGGACAAAAGAATACGTCCCCCAAAACTTTTAATAAAATCTTCCACAGTAGCTCGATATTTGGTTGGAGGTTTGATTCTGTTGCGATAATATTAGTGTTTTCTTTATATTGACTTAAGTCATTTGTCACCGTTTTGGATGGTTTGTTTTCAAATAACTGCACTTTGACAAATTTTTGCAAATGTAATTTATATTGTAATAATACATCTCTATACACTATATACTTAGTAAACAAGAAAAAAATAGAGGACCTGCTCAAACTTTTAGTGGATGCACCTACCTCCGATTTTGTATGCCTTGTACTGCATACAAACAATTCGATGTATGATGCCATCAAAACTCAAAATTATGTATTGAATTAAAAGTATAAAGTTGCAGTTGGCAGATACTCAAATGTAGATGTTCAGATTCATTCATAATTTTTCTCATTTATGGCAAACACATTTATCAAAATTGCAAATTTGGAGGGAATTTTACGGCCACAAGTCGGATCTATTGAGGAAATTAATTTGCGAATAGTCCCTCTTTTTATAGTCTTGTAATCTGTTGCTACAGAGTATAATAGTTTCGTTCATCTAACGTACCACTTAAGACTAAGCGAGTTAGATGTAGGGTTATATATGTATGTTCATACAATGATGAGGATGACGAGTTGAAATCCTTGTGACTGTCCGTGCAAGCTGTAACTTGAGTCAAAATTAAGACATCTTGGTGAAACTGTCATGCTCACAAAACGCTATTAACCGAAAATCTACATAATTTGGCACAGAGGATCCCAGTAGAAAGGGCCAGCCGTGGGAAAAAAAAATGTGAAAATGTGTCGCCCTCCAATAAGCTTAATGTACACAAATATTATAATAACTCCTAACGTCAGTGTGAAAATGGATGAAATCGAAAAACTTCTAAATTCTTTTTAACAAAATAATTTAAATTTTATRTTTGCTGTTAAAGCAACAAAATCAATTTTCAATAGGATAACGATTCAAAGTACACATCATATCTTGTACGTGAATGGTTGTTATGGAATTAAAAATAACTTCATATGCCCCGTCATCACCAGACATTACCCTATTCAACATACCTGGAACTTATTGGAAAACGGTATTCGAAAACATCRAATTTCATTAAAAGAGTGCTTAAAAACTGCCTTAAGCATTTAGTGGGTCAAAATATCCGAAAATAAAACTAGAAATCTAGCGGGGAGCAGCATCGACAGCTGGGGGCAATAATTGACGCCTACATCGCATATTGGGTAGTCGAAAAAGTCTTTTCGTATTTCTAATCAAACTTCAACTATTATACTAGTAAATAAATAAAAAATATGTACTATTTTGGTCGACCCATTTGTTCGTTAGAGAATTATTCCATTAGTGTAAAACTTTCATCAGTGTATATCGAAATTTCAAAATTTCGAAATCTCCAGAACGGAAGCGGGAGAACCATTGTTGTACTACGCTGACTGATACAACATCGTCTCCGTAAACTTCACAAATTTCATTGGTGGATTGCCTAGCATTYTTCTCTTTTTTATAAAAAAAATTCAAAATATGTATAGGGAATTTCTTCTTTATTTTTAGTAATTTTTKAACAGCTGATAAAGAGCTTTCACAAAGGCGCCATAATAATCATTATTTTTTAATAAAAGTACTTTTATTGTGGCGTAACTAYAGTTAGGACTATGCGGTCGGGGCAACTTTTGTAGATAATTATAAGTTCAGTAAAGTCGTAGTACATTATTTTTTTGAAGTCGCGTGTTTATGTCAACAAGCCTCAGACTCTTGCAGCTCTTAAAGACAATATCCATCRAGAATTGAGGACCTATCGCCGGAAGTTCTGGCCAAAGTGAAGGTAAATGCCATAAAAAGGGCTGAAATGACAAGCAACTGTGGCGGCGGYCATTTAAATGATATAATATTCTCGACTTGATGTAAAAAATTTAAAAGACCAAATAAAAATAATCTACAGGCAGACTCAAAGTTTTCAGAAACATCGGAAGGTAATTTTTGCGCCACCTGTTATAATAAATAGTTTAGCTCAAGCTCCTCGCTTGACTTATAACATCTARTTACAAGAGTTCTTTTTCTGGATTAAAAAAAATAATTTCCCGTATGTTTTCTATGTATTTGGAAATCTTAGACTCCTTTTTAAGAGAACTTTTTCTATACCTTAATAGTTATTTTGTTAATCAGAATGAAGACGAATTCAATTACATACGTACATATGTATATAGTTAAATGGGTGTATAAAAGTCCTGCTCATGCTTTAAACCTAGGTCAGTGTAATTTACAAATGGACTTAAATGCATTCTACATGCCTTCGAAAGCAAGTGCTTAAATAAGCCTGCTGTCCACGTATGTAGTATGTACGTATGTATAACTCCGTGATGTGTGGGCACATCATTTACAAATGAGCGATTACGCGTCCATACAAACATTTTAATTTAATTCAATATAAATTATTCCTTTGAGCAGAGTGGCTGGCATTCATCATAGCAACGGAATGTACACACATATCTATTTTGAACTCGTATGTGTGTTGGTATGCTGCAACATATGCACA